GAATAAGGGTGGTCGAAGGCGAGATTGTAAACTCTCCCATAGCGGAGAGTGTCTCTGCTGGTATACAAGCCTTCAGCGGCTCCGGTGGAGGATTCGACGCGGGTGACGCGGCATCCAACCTCTCCAGTGTGATCGAGGTGGATACAGAGCAGGAGGAGAGCACCGGAGGAGAACCGATACCCTCTATCGCCATTGATGACACGGAAGAGGATTTATCCTCTTCGTTCGACCAGGTCCCCAGGAAGGGGAAGAAGAGGGGGCGGAAGCCAAAGGGCTCAAATTGCCCAGGGTCGCATGCCCTGTCCAGACTCGCCTCAAAGCGTATGGACTACGAGGATGACGAACTGGATAGGGACGACTTTTTTAAGATAGCCAAGAGGGGCGGCCGCGGGCTGAAAAAGCGGAAAGGCCTGGTAGAGTGCCACTTAGACGATAGGCTCTCATCTCGACAGAAGGACGCCATAGAGGAGGTGACGGCTTTATTCCCCCAAATGTCTCCAAAGACGATGATGGCGGAGACATTGAGGGTCCTGGAGACCGCGGGGGAAGCTGAGAGACGGACCACGTCAATGAGGGGGGAATTTCGGCGCCAAATAAAAGTGGGTGTCAATGTCGCAAAAGTAGCGGTTCAACGCTTGGTTTCCGAAATTGTGAAGGGCACGGGACCAACAGACGAAATTAAGGCCAACAACTCGGCCCTGGAAAGGGAGATAATAAAGCTCCGTAGAGAGATGGATGCTCTGAGGCGAGAGAGAACCTCCCTCAGAGACGAAGTGGAGTCTCTCAGACGGACGGTAGAGGATCTGAGGAATGGTGAGAGGAGAGGAGAGGAGTGCGCGAACGGAGTCGTGTTCCCTCTTCGGAGGAGGAGGACCGGATGCGAGACTCCTCCGTTCCGATTCCCACGCGTTCTCGAGAGGAACGAGTTGTGCGGAGACAATTGTTGGACGCGAGTGAAGTGATGCGAGAGCTGGGAGAGGATGTGCTCTCTCCTGCGTACAGGCCGGCTCTGAGGGGGAACAGGAGGAGGCTAGAAGACTGGCCTCCCCTGTCTACCAGAGTCGACGGGACCGGGAGAATCGTAGCGGACGTAAGACGCGGCGACGTGAACGATCGCAACACCGCGAGTGTACAAAGTGTAAGAAGAGGGGTGGCGAGTGAGGCGGATAGGGAGGCTTCTGGAGACGCTATGCACCCGGAAACCTCGTTGCCAGCACTAGACTATCCGGAAAATGGGGAGGGCTGGACAGAAGCCAAAACAAGGCGTGCGCGTAAAAGGGCGGCTAAGAAGAAAAACGCGAACAAGCTAGTTAATACGAACAGAGACAGTGCAAACGATGGGAAAAGTGTAAAAAAGGCCACTGTACCTCCACCCCCTACGAGGAGTGAGAAGGCTGGTCGTCTAGCTGGCGTCAGCTCAAATACGCGGGTGACGAAAAAAGAAAACGTGGGTGATGTGGTGACGGAGAGATGGTCGTCAATTGCCGCGACTCGCCCGGTGACGCGGAATGACGGACTGGCTGTGCGACGACGTGCTGCGGGGGATGCGCGGTTGCGGGCGCCTAGGACCGCCGCGGTGCTGCTCAGGTGCGTGGAGTCTGCGGATCAAGCGGGGCCGACGTACGCGGAAGTCATGAGATTGGCGAGGGGGAAAATCTCCCTCGATGAAATGAATACCGTTAACACCCGTATCCGAAGGGCGCAGGCGGGGGGACTGTTAATTGAGATCCCGGGGGGCGATGAGGCGAGTGCGAAGGCGGAGGCTCTGGTGGGGAAACTGAAGGAGGTCCTCGCTGAGAGCCAATATAAGGACGGCGTTAGCGTGGTGCGACCAGTGCGCAGGGCTGAGATAAGGTTGATAGACCTGGATCAATCTGTCACTGCAGAGGAAGTGATCGCGGCTGTAGTGTCCAGGGGACAGGTCTCTGCTGCTGATGTCAGAACTGGACCTCTGAGATTAGGACGGGGTGGCATGAACTCGATATGGGTGCAGTGCCCCCTACAGTGCGCGAACAAACTTATTAGTGAGAGACGAGTGAGAGTGGGTCCTCGGCGGGTGTGGTGGCACTGGCTAAAAGGAGGTTTCAGTGCTTCCGCTGTCTCGCAGTTGGACACACGAGGGCCAACTGCCAGAGCCTAACTGACCGCTCCATGATGTGCTTTCAGTGCGGCAGTGATGGACATAGGGCTGCGAAATGTCGGCTACCCCCAAAGTGCCCAGTGTGCGCGGGGCGTGGATTACCTTCGAGGCACCATGCGGGCGCGAGTGACTGTGTGCCATATAATGGGCGCGGACAGGCACCCAATCGCGACGATACGCGGGTGAATAGTGAGGGAACATCCGCCGGGGCTGATCGGGGAGCCCCGGCACCAGCGGATGGGACAGACAGAATATGGAGGTAGTTAATGGCTAGATTAGCCCATATTAATGTTAATAGGTCGCGACCGTCGCAGGATTTAATTGCGAGGGTAAGTGAGGAGCTTAGCTTGGGGATCGTGGCCGTTGCGGAGCCCAGCGGTATCCCGGACAATGGCCGCTGGGTATCCTCCGGAGACGACCATTATCCCCCCTCGGCAGCCATTAC